AGTAAAGACACGTGCGCGATACACAAAAACAACATTATAATATTAATTTGTTTATCTAATACACGGACAAACTTTACACCAATAAATATGTAGCAGAATATCCTTACTTTAAATCTTCACTTTGTTTTTAAAAAAGCGACGTGTACTAAGCAGACTAGAGTATTTTATTAACGCAAAGCTAAGGCCACGCCCCTGGATTCTTGATAAATGATTGGCATCTAAAATGTGACCTTCAGCTTGCATGTAAGAGCACACAAAAACGTTTTATCTGTATAAAATAACTTCGTTATAAAGCTACGCTTTTTCAAATTTCATTTAAGTAATTTTATGATAACAAAAAACACTTCTATACGCACTTTGAATTTCAACACAGACTAAACTTTTCACAAAATACCCTCCCCTCTAATGGCTTAACGGTATGTATACGGACTTAAACGCTAAAAACCGGGTTTCGATACCCGTGGTGGCCAGAGCACAGATAGTACATTGTGTAGCTTTGTGATTAACTTCAAACAAACACAAAATACTTGAAAATGGGTAAAACGAGTAACTCTAGAAAACATAGACATTTTTAGAGGATTTTCTAACGTTTATGATATTGGTGTTCAACATGGAGTAATAAAAAGTTAAAGATAAAAATTAGATACTCTACAGCGTTAGTTAACATTTCATGAATTTAAAAACTGTCACATAATTGGTGTCACAAAAACTTGTGAAGCGTGAGTGGTAATCTTGTCCTCATGTAGTACAGTAAATAAGTTTTTTCACATGGCTTTACGGTGGAAAATGTGAAAAATCAAAAATCGTCCTGCCATCTGTTGTTCAATATTATTACTACTACTAATACTACATAGTAGATAAACAGTCGCATTAAATGCGAAATACTCGCAAATACTTAAGTAAAACATTTGATAATTCCAGATATAAAACCATAATCTTAATATAAAATTTTATTTGAACTTACATAATTAATTTTAAACTGGTGTAGAAAAAAAAAGGTTACAATTTTTTATTTTAAGACATACTGTACAACAGTCCAAAACAATAAAATACCGACACTCAGGATGAAAGTTTTATATGTATAATATGATGTTTTTTCCCTTTAAATCAGTATGTTTTGTTCTCTCTTTTCACGTATTTATAGTACACCGGCATTTTTAGAGGATATGAACTGGTACTGTCGTAGTTCCGTATTTCTGAGAAGTAATAAACAGATGGATGATACATTATTGTGACGTGGGATATGGAAGTTATGTATCGTTTTAGTATGACTTCCAATATGGAAGCCATTTCCTGAGAAACATGAAAATAGCTGTGTTTGTATGACGTCAGATGTGAAAGCTTTGTCGTAATTTCCTGCTTGGAGATATAAGGGAATATGTCTGTTTTACAGAATTTTCTTGCAAAGAAGCTACACAAGGGTTAACTGCGCGTTAGCCATACCTAATTTTGAAATGATAGACTAAAGGGAAGGCAGTTACTTAATATCACCCACCGCCAACTCTGGGGCTACTCTTGTCAGAACAAATGATCGACTAAAGGGAAGACAGTTACTCAACATCACCCACCGCCAACTCTGGGGCTACTCTTGTCAGACCAAATGATCGACTAAAGGGAAGGCAGTTACTCAACATCACCCACCGCCAACTCTGGGGCTACTCTTGTCAGACCAAAATAGTGGGATTTTACCGTCACTTTTATAACGCACATACACACATAAACTGCCCGAAAGTGCAGAGCGCGATTTTATTTTGTTTCGTCGTAACGGAATACGGACCATGGAACTCCACTGACTACACAGCTCGATACGCTAATCACTTGGCTACGTTCGACCCGCTCAAAAATAAAAAACGTTTTTGGCATAGCCGTCTCTAATTTCGAACTGATAATCTAGACGGATGGCATCTAGCCAGCAGCACCAGTCGCCTACTGTTGAGTTAGTCTTTTCCAACCGAATACTGAGATTTGACCGTTACTATTATAGTGTACCCATGTCTCAAAGTTGCAGGTTCACAATTCGGCCACACTAAGAACTAGGCCACGCCTTGCACAATGGCGTATTAAGTATGAAAGTAGTAGTAGTGAGAAATCCGTGTCGCCATGCCTAAACTTTGCGTCATTACAAAGTTCAGAAAGTTATTTTGTTTAAAATACATACAAAGTAGGATAATAAACAAACCAAGATTAACAGGATCAATAATTTACAAGTATTTATACCTGTAATAAAAAAATCACTATTAAACGTTTTTTACACATTTGTTAAAAGCACAAAAGTATTAGTGTTAATAATCATTATTCGTAAGTTTATGTGGTCCTACAACTATGTATAGTTTTTACATACATAACGAGGTGAGTTTCTAATCAATCCAAAATATTCTTTGCAGCTATTTGCACTGTGTTAAGCAACCAATTTATATGTTAAAAAACAATAACAAATGAACTCATAATATGTTTGTTTGTTTGTAAATAAGCCCAAAGCTACACGATGGGCTATCTACGCTCTGCCCACGAAGGGTATAGAAACCCGGATTCTAGCGTTGTAAGTCTGCAGACATACCGCTGTGCCACTGGGGGGGGGGGGGGAAGCTCGTTATATGTCCCTGATAGCTGAGTGGTAAACTGTATTGCTTATAACGCAAAATTCGGGGTTCGATCTCCGTGATAGACACAGATTAAACAATCCATATGTAGCTCTGCGCTTG